TCTGTCATGGGCATAGGCTTTCCTCCTTACAGGTATGTAGTTTTATCAGATAAAAAATTGTTAAAGAATGAAAAGAAGTTTCACGTTGGTGGTTTATGAAATTAGTAGTCTCCTTATAAAGTTTGGACAATCCTCGGAAAAGTATGATCACGACTATAATAATGAGAAAAGTATATAAATTTTTTTAGAAATAAAAATCTGATTGGATACTTGTTGTTGGGCAGGGGAGGGATCATATACTGGGCAGATACTGTTGGATCCAAATACATTTGTTCAAGGTTGGATGAGTGGACAACAATTTATGGAAAAATTTTCAAACCTTGTGACTACCTTGCTGAAAAAGCTGCTAGGGGGATTCCTCTAGTGAGTATAATTAATTATGTTGTTTTTCTAAATTGTTGTACAGTACTCTGCACACAATATTTTATATTATCAAACCATCTAAAAAATTTAATACATATCTTGTAATTGTTGTAATGTACATAAGTTAATTTTTTATACATTATTGTTAAGGGGTGTACAAGTCAAATTGAACCAACAAATTAAGTTTAATTGAATTTGATTGATTTTGGTGTTGGAAAAAAAATATCACTTTTAATTTAATTTGGTATTAAAAGAAAAAAAACCAAACCTAACTGACACATATACATATTATTATATTATTTTAAAGTTGGGTTTGTCATTTTCATTTTTTAAAAATATTTTGTTTTGTATTTAGTTTGATTGGGACCTTTCATCTTACGAATATAACACGTAGAAATTATTTTATATTCATGTGAATTTTTATGTCTTTTTTGAATATTTCTAATCATTTAAGATTTTAAGTTTTAGCATACAAGTAAAAATATATTTGATCTCTTTTTAAAAAATCAAAAGAATTAACTAAAATCAAAATCAACTATATATGGGTTTAATTTAATAAATTAACATAATTAATTTAATTATTTTTTAATAAAAAATTATATCAAATCGACATATATATATCCCTGGTCGTTGTTATTATATCATGAGGATGCTAAATTTATTTGTGCTCATTGCAGAGTGGAACGATGGATCCTGCCAAGTCACGCCTGTAAAGATCAGCTTGTTTTCGAGTATTTTTCATTACAGAATAATAATGTATTAATGGAGAATGAATGAATGAATTAATATAAGACTATTCTGGTGTACTACTTTAAAATTAGATTTGCTTTTTTATTTTTCACTTTTTACGTATTAAGAAAAAACAATAGTATTTTTTATATTTTTTCTTAGCATTAATTACTTACTCCTTAAATTATTCTTTAAGACGTAATATTAAATACTATAAATTAAGAGGAGTGCAAAATTCAAAATAATTTAATAAAAGTGAAAGGTGGAAATATGACATGATTTAATTCCAAAATAATGTGGGGATTCTTTTTTTCTGTCTGTGCATCTTTATATTCATTACTTTATTCATATCAAATTCTCAACTAACTTGTACATGTTGAACTTTTAATACTCTTCAAATTTACTCAAATTTCAGATTCTTGCTAATATATTGAGCCCTTTTATAAACAAAATTGTCTTCAAACATTAATTGAATATGTCATTTCTTATATAAAATGAGCATTCACCTTAAAATATTTTATGGATTTTAAATTAAAATAAACTAATGAGACAATTTAGTAAAATTTATATAAAATGAGCATTCATCTTAAAATATTTTATGTTATCGTCCACGCTGGAATGAACGAGTTTGAGGAGTGTTGATCAAGGCAAGCAACAGAGGCACCTTTTTGTTAGCAAAAGTTAGTCGATTCTGGCCTTGTTCTGTGTAGATCTAGTGCTCATGTATATGTGTTCAAAAAGTGGATAACTTGTTCTAGTATATATATATATATATATGAAGCAATTCATTCTCTAGTAAAGAATGTATTGAGAAATGGAGAGGTCTTTTCTCGTGTGGCTCTCTTGCCATCTAGAATTGCAATAATTTAAGATTATTATTGATATTTTCTGATACTAATAACTATATCGATATATTTTTTGAAAAAAAAGAAGATAAAATGACTTTAATTTTGAGAAGTGGATCACAATTAAACATTAATGACCCTACTGAGCCTATTGGTGTGACATTGGGTGCCACAAAGACCATCTTGTTGTTGCATAAATCACAATGTTCGTTTAAATTCTTTAAGAATGAACAAACGAGGAGCAAATGAGATTTCTTATCAAACAGTAGTCCCATGAAATAATTGGTGCACATTTTTTAGGGTCAGAATCTTGATAATAGTATCTCTATCTTTTTCATGCTAGTGTGAGTGATTAGTTATTGTATTCTCAAAAAAAAAAAGGATAACGTTAATTTTTTTACCTAATCAATAATTTTTATTTAAGCTTTTTTTTTTGGTATATACAACTATGGATTCTCTAGAAAAGAATGTGGTAATGAATGGATCATTAACGAATCTGTGAACTTACTAGAAGATCATACATTTCAACTACTGAAAAACATTAAATCCAATTTCCACCACCCATTGAAAAGATCTTATTCTTCAATTTAACTCTAGATAAGTTAGCGTTTCTCTTCTTCAAACCTAAAAGCACAAGAATAGAACAGCATCCTATGTTGTACCATAATTTTTCAAATTTGTCAACAAATACATAAAGTGCTCCACTCAAATTTAAAATTTGCGAAATACGATCGAAATGAACTCATTGGCTAAACTCTAAAGTGACTTTAAAAAATCATTCAAAATGTGAGTACAAATCCAAGCCTGATACACACTCATTACCATCAAACCGTCAGCTACTGCTGGGATGATTGACTCATCAGACATTATATTGTCTGACCCAATCACATTTTCATTGTCATATGAGAAGGATTGTTGACTCTAATATTAAACATCTATTTTCTTAAGTGGATGTTTGATGTTGGAGTCAACAAATCCTTCTCGAACACATAATATTAAAAATGTGTCAGACAATATAGTGTGTGATAGTCAATCATTCTAACTTTAGCTGGAGGATATGATGGTAATAAGTGGCTATCGGGCTTGGACTTGTACTCACCTTTGAATGATATTATAAAGTCACATAAGCCAATGAGTTCGTTTTGATCATATTTCACAATTTCAAATCTGAGTAGAGAACTATATGTATTTGTTGACAAATTTGGAAAGTATTGTACAAAACAGGATTTCACTCTATTCTCGTGCATCCAGGTTTGAAGAAGAGAAACACTAACTTATCCCGAGTTACATTGAAGGAAAGGATCTTTGCAATGGGTGGTGGAAATGGGATTTTCAGAAGTTGAAATGTATAATCATCTAGTAGGTTGACGGATTCCTTCATAATCTATTCATTACCCCCTTTCTTTTCTTGAGAATTGATAGTTGCATATACCAAAAGCAAAGCTTAAATAGAAGTCACTGATTAAGTGGAATAATTTATGTAATCGTCATATTATTTTTTTGAGAAAACAGTAACTAATCACTCATGTTAAATACTACTGATTAAGTAAAACAATTAGGGTTTGACGATATGAATTCTCTATATTTCAAAATTAAATAAAAATTCAACAACTTGAATAGACATCCTAAATCTTCATTTTAAAATGATTCTAACAATCTACTTTCTTTGACAAAACTTACAAAATTTTATGTTGAGGCTTCAAAAATGAGACTTTTTTCTTATCAGTAAAAACATTCACCGCAAAATCTAAAACATTAGTCTCACAATCAAAACATCAAAAACCCAAAGTGCTTGAAACGAATTCGACAAGATAACTAAATTTCTCGAATCCAAAGTTATCTACCAACATAGATTAAATTTTAAAAAATAAAGGATATTACTACATGATCACATGCACATATATAAATATATAACATGCTTATATAAATCAATGCATAAGTAACAATAATAATGATAGAAAATAGTTACCACAATCTGAATGAATTCATGCATGAAACAACATAAAAGCATCTCACTAAAAAAAAATTACCTATAGATTGAGTTGTTGAAATTCCCTATATAATTTCTCTCTTTTGCTTCTAGATACACAATGTTGATCAAACCCTTGAGGGATCTACAATTTGATAGGTAAAAGCATTTTTTTTTAAAAACAAATTAGGAAGAAAAAGGCTTTGTTTATCTCAATGTAAATGCAAAATATATATTTTATGATTTGGCCTTTATTTGACCTTTTATAGCTGAGGAGGAGAGGGTTAATTAGTAGAGGTTCAACCTTACCAAAATTAAATCACATGTTAATGGAGAAAAGTTTTCATTTTTTTACTATAATGGCACTTTGTTGAATAGATAGAAATTTACATTTGACTTAGTTTTACTTTTCTCACTAAAAATATAAAAGTAAATAAGGAAAATAATTTAGTAATGAAGATTTTGACCAGAAATATGAAAGTAAATAAGGAAAAAAATTTAATAATGAAAAATTTTGATTCATAATTTTTCGATGAAGGTATAAATATCAATATTCAAATCACCATTTTTCTATTTTTTGAATATTAAATTAAAAGTACAAGTTAAGAAATTATTTTTTTCCTCCTTTTTCAAACAAGAAGTCCTTCAACTTCTTATAATTTGGGAAATATAATTTTAAAAATATTGTTTTGGGCTACATATATTATTGATGACTTTCCTTGCTAATTTTTTTTAATTTTTTTGTCTTGTACTTTAAATCACGTCCTAATCGAGAAAAGCTTTAAATTTCAAACTATAATAATACTTTCTTGAATAGATAGGAATCTATGTTTGACATAGTCTTAATATATACAATAATGTCTGATTTAGTTAATTTTGATTTTTTTTATCAAAAGAATGCAAATAAATAAGGAAAAAAATATTTAGTGATCAACATTTTATTTCATGATTTTTTTGGTGAAGGTGTAAATACCAATATTCAAATCACCATTTTCTATTTTTTTTTGAAGAGTTTAACTGCTATCCACCGACGGTGGACAAAAAATTACACGGACATTTTATTTTTGGAAATATTTAATTTTTTAATTAATATATTTTAATATTATTAATATTAAAATAAAAATAATAACATAGTGTTATATGGTAACTTGAATTATAAATTAATTGTACAAATTTAATTAGGATTCTTATTTGTCTTACCAAAAATAAAAAATACATAATTTCTTGTGTTTTCTTAGTTGTATTAACGTTCTTCTTTTTCTACATAAACCATTGAAGCAACCAACTATCCACCATTGAAGCAATTTGAAACAATTATCATGGTAGCGTTTTCCTCGTATATCTTTTTTTACATAACTTATTAAGTCTTTTTCGCAACATGAATAAACGTTTCAAAGAAATATTCTTGTTTTAATGTATGAAGAAATTTATGTTTTGTAGTGATGAAGATATTTAAAGAATACGTTTAAGAACTTTTTAGCAAATTGAAGAAGTTCAATACATTAGCCATGAAAAATATTTAAAATTTTAAAGCTAACTTACCCTATCAGTCTAATATCTAATAATTGTGTATTGCAGGAAACTTTTGAAATCTCTAATTTAGAAGAGCAAAATGCAGAAGGAATTGAAGATTCCTTGGAGGATATAGAAAGCAACATGAATGCAGTTGTATCTTTTGTTCCTCAACTAGGTGAGCAAGAATTAAGAGAGCCTTACATCGGTATGGAATTTCAATCACTTGATACTGGATTTAAATTTTATCTTGATTATGCTCATCGTAATGGTTTTAGTGTGCGCAAAAATCGAATTAGTAGATCAAGAAAAGATAAATCCATTATTGGTCAAGAGTTTGTTTGTTCAAAAGAAGGATTTCGTTCAAAAAAATGTCTTGAGAGTAATAAGCAACGAGATGAGACTAGAGAGGGGTGCAAAGTGATGATATATATGTCAAAGAAAGAAGAAGAAAAGTGGGTTATAGCTAGGCTTGTCTTGAATCATAATCATGAACTTGCTTCTCCTAATAGTCAGAAATTCTTGCGATCAAAAAGAAAAAAATCAGAGGCTCAAAAAAATCTTATTGATCTCTTAAATAATTCTGGTATTCGTCCAAGTAAAATCGCATCAGTGTTAACTACTCAGGCGGGAGGCATAGAGAATCTCAATATAACTGGACGAGATATTCAGAATTATTTGAGCACTAAAAGGCAAAATTGTCTTGAGAAAGGAGATGCACAATTGATGTTGAAATACTTTCAAAAGCGACAATCTGATAGCCCAGGATTCTTTTATGCAATACAAATGGATGTGGAGGGTCATTTAGCTAATTGTTTTTGGGTAGATGCTAGGTCTAGGATAGCTTACAAGAATTTTGGAGATGTTGTCCTATTTGATCCTACATACTTGACAAATAAATATAAGATGCCTTTTGTTCCATTTACCGGAGTTAATAACCATCACCAATCCATTTTATTTGGATGTTCTCTTCTTTGGGATGAAACGGAAGAAACTTTTCAGTGGTTACTTCATACTTGGCAAGAGGCAATGTTTGGTATTTCCCCTCGTACAATAATCACAGATCAAGATGCTGCAATAACAAATGCAGTTGCAAAGGTGTTCCCGAATAGTGCACACCATTTTTGTATGTGGCACATTGAGAAGAAGATTCCTGAATATCTAAGTCATGTTTTTCATGCATTTGATGATTTTAAAAATAAGTTTAGTAAGTGTTTACATTGTACAACAACTCCTGAGGAATTTGAAATTGCTTGGATCGATATAATGAAAATGTACAATTTAGAAGAGCATATTTGGTTGCGTAAGATATACACCATTCGCGAGAAATGGATTCCAGCATATGTGCGAACTACTTTTTGTGCTGGAATGTCAACAACTCAAAGAAGTGAAAGTATGAATAAATACTTTAAAGATTATCTTAACTCTAGTACGCCAATGAGTGTATTTGTGACGCAATATGATAAAGCTGTTGACGCTAGGTATGACAAAGTAAGGGAGAAGGATTATAAGACAAAGCATTCAAAGGCTATCTTGAAAACATTATATCCAATGGAGGATGAAGCAGCCAAAATATATACCAGAAAAATATTTCAAAAATTTCAAGAAGAGTTAATTCAATCTCAAAAATTTATTTCAGAAAAAATTGAGGTTCAGGATGGGATACATATTTATAAAGTGCATTTGTTTCAGAGAGAAACACCGACATATATTGTTAGGTTGAATCTTGAATTAAAGAATGCTACTTGTTCTTGTCATAAGTTTGAGTTCATGGGAATTTTGTGTAGACATGTGCTTATGATATTTATAAAGAAACAGATTCACTCGCTTCCACCATGTTATTTATTGGATCGATGGACAAGGTATGCAACTACAGAAAAAGCTAATGACATTTCAAGTGCAGGATCGCTTGCGTATAATCTGAAGTCTTCTACTATATGGTTTAATAACATTATGACACATTCTCTTGGGCTCTCTGAACGAGCTACTCGTTCAGAAAAGCATTATAAATTTACATATCAGAAATTGTTGCAACTAAGTAAAGAACTTGATGAACTTCCATATGAGGATAATGATAATGTTTGTGATGATCAAGTTAACGAGTCAAATAATGATTTGAACTCAAGTGAACAAAGAGAAAAATTTAGTTTGCTTGACCCTCCATGCGTGGCTACTAAAGGACGTCCTCGTTCTTTGAGAATGAAAAGTGGTTTAGAAAGTTCTCAGAAGGTTAAAAGAAGCTCTTCGCTGAAATCAAAAAGAGAAACCAAAATCAGAAAAAAAGGCAAAGGAGTAAGGTAATTTTATAGTTTGATCTTTAATTTAATGTGAATTCATTGAATAAATCACATATTTCAATTATTTGCTTAATTTTCAGTTCACACATTAATGTTGAAAAGGAATTCAATAGCAGGGAAACAATCATTAATGCAGATCCTACAATGGTAAGGTTTTATTTTGATAAATTATGTGAATTTTGACTAAGACTTATTCTTATGTATCATTCTCTTTTTAGCTAACAAATTTTTCTTTTATTTAATCATTTTTAAAGGAATTCTCAGCATATTCAGAACCTTTTGAAGGGCAAAGTGGTCGTGCTGATTCATATCCAACCTCATTTATGGTGGGTTTATTTTACTGCGCTTGTATGTATTTTATTTATAACATATATGCATTTGTAAACAATTACTGTTTCAGGATTTGATGAGAGCAACTTCGTATCCGTATCAAAGAGGTTTCTAATCTACAAGGTGACTTGGAGTTTGTGGAATTTAAAACTATAAAGGATGTCTAGAGAGACAATTATTCAAAATTCATTTTGTTCTGTTTTCTTTCTTTGGCAGAATATAAATCCAGGGATATTTTTTGTTCAAGACTTTTTTTTCTTTTAAGTTTACATACAATAACTCATAGTTTTAGCTTTAGTTTTTTTTTGTTGATTGTGTTTTTATTCATAGTGAATTAGTTACTCTTTTATGCCTTCATATATGTTAGCAAGGATACTCCACTCTCTGATACATAGCAGCAGCAATAACAACGTATAGCAACAAAAAATTTTCACCGAAAGAATAAAATTTGTAACCAAGCATGCAATTGTGATTAAATCATGGGTCATGGGTCGTATTTAATAGTGTTTGATTTTGTTTGCTTACTCTTATAAGTTTGAATATGTTGATTTTGTTGCACTTTATGTTTCTGGAATAGTTTCATATTAATATTTTGCTAGCATTGCTTCAATGGCAACAAGTACCGGTTCTTATAAAAAAAATAATATGTTGGCAACGATTTTCTTTGAAGGATTGAAGTGCTTTCCAATAAGAAAACACAAGAAATTGTGTATTTTTTATTTTTGGTAAGACAAATAAGAATCCTAATTAAATTTGTACAATTAATTTATAATTCAAGTTACCATATAACACTCTGTTATTATTTTTATTTTAATATTAATAATATTAAAATATATTAATTAAAAAAATTAAATATTTCCAAAAATAATATGCCCGTGTAATCTTTTGTCCACCGTCGGTGGATAGTAGTTAAACTCTTTTGAATATCAAATTAAAAATACTAGTTATTAAGTTATTTTTTTCCTCTTTTTTCAAATATGAAGTCCTTCCAAAAAAAATTTTTATCTGGATAATATAATTTTTAAAATATTATTTTGGGTTATATACATTAATTATAACTTTCTCTGATTAGTTTTCTCTTTATATTTTCTTTGTCTTCTATTTTAAATCATATCCTGATCAAGAAAAGATTTAAGTAGGGAAATTAGTAAAATTAGTAAATTAGTCAAAAAAATAATATTATTTAGTAAAAAAATTCATACTTTAAAAATATTAGTAATAATATCAAAAATGTCATTATTTTACAAAATTTATGTATCCCAATTTTCCTCCTATTTTATCTCCCCTTTTCAATTAATTCTATATATCTTTTTATAAAAAAAAACATTCTATCTCATGTTTATCTTTTCAAATTGTTAATTTTCTCTCCCATTTAAATTTTTCTCTCTCCCGTGATTATCTTTTTCTGATTTTCCTCCAACATTCAAGTTGCAAAATTTTTCTGCCATATATTTTGGTTGTTTCTTTTTTATCAAAAATTGGATCAACAAGAATTCCTTTGATTAAAGTATCCCCAATTTTTATTTTATTTTCAGATTTTTTTTCTGATTTTGTTTTTGTTTAAATCTTAAAAAAATATTGTTTGTATTTTTCAATTTCCGTTATGATTTACTCTCCAAAGGTTGAATCCAAGAGGCTTACTAGAGGTATTCATATTATTCAACCAATTTCTAGTGATTTTTCATCCTTTAATTTATTTATTACTCAACAAATAGAAAGAAAGTGGGTTAGAACATTTACAAGACTCATTGATGTGCAAAACCTTCCTCAATTTCAAAATGCAAATGTAGAATCTTCGTATACTCGTGAGGATCTTGAAAAAGACGACGAAGATTGGATAGTTGTCGAACAACTTTTATTAGTTTTTTGTATTTAAAGTTCTTTTTTAGAATTTGATATGCTTTCTCAATTTGTATTCAAATCACTATGTATGCTATCAATATTTGTATTTATTAAAAAATTCATGTTGCATGGTTTATGAATCTTGTATTTGTCCCTAATTTGTATTTATCCAAATGTATGTCAACTAGTTATGTATTTTATTTATAAGAAGAACAACTTTCTATTAGTTTATTTGTATTCGAATATAAATACAAATAATATACGTATTGAAACGAATACGACTTAGAAAAGGAAACAATTTTTGAAAAGAAAAATAAATACACAATGAAAAAATATACGAATACAAATGTATTTCTTAAATAACTACATATTTATTTGACATACATATTGAAATGAATACAAACTAATAAAGAAATACAAGCTTCATTATACAAAATACAACATGAAAACTAGAATAGATACTAATACAAACGGTTTACATATTGGAATAAATACAATTTAAGCAAGGATACAAATTTTTGAAAAATAAAACAAAAAGAAAAGTATGTCAAATAGAGACAAAACTATAGTTATTCAAATTTCTAAATTAAAAAAAAATCAATCAATATAACTTTAATGTATCATCATAAAGTTTCATAATAATAATTAGTAAGAATGAGATATTATATTTTTTTATTATATAATTTTCATAACAATAATTAGTGAAAAATTGATATTCAAATTTTATAGATGTGGTACTTCATTAATTTCGTGATTTTCATAACAATAATTAGTGAAAATTGGATATTTATTTTGGTTAATAAAAGTGTTTAGAAATAAAAAAAAATTAAGAAAATTGGATATTGAATTATTTTAGAAAAATGAAGAAAAGAGTATTTTTTATAACATGATGAGAAAAAAAAAAGAAACAGATGAAAGTTGGTGTATTTTGATAAATTGTAACTGATGAGACTTTTAACATTTATTCTTTTTTAAAAATAATTATCTCCCATAAATTTCTTAAGAACATAAATAAGATACGTAACAAAGTTAAATATTAAATATGTTACTTTCTTGAATAGATAGGAATTTACATTTGACTAAAGTCTTAATATCTATATATTTCAAATTAGTGAACTTTAATTTTCTGAACAAAAGAGCACAAGTAGTAACGAAAAATTTTAGTGATGAAGATTTTGATACTTGAGTTTTGGTGAATGCGGAAATACCAATATTCACATCACCATTTTCTATATTTTGAACATATTAGATTAAAAATGGTATTGCCCCCTCCCCCCTTTACAACTATAAAATCCTTATTTTTTAATTGCCTGATCTTTTTCAATTAACTTACTCGACAATAAAGTTATAAATACTGAGTGGATGGGTAAGAATATGGAATAAAGATTTATCGACATGTATGATTAGACAAATTTTAATATTATCGAACAAATAGTTGGGTTATATATATCTATTGTAAATTTCCTTGCTAAATTTTTTTTCTTATATTTTCTTCAATCTTTTAGATCACATTCTAAAAAAGTTTCGAACTTATGACTATAAAATTATACTTTCTTGAATAGATAGGAATTCGCACTTGAGTTCATTATAATACCTGAAATATATTTTAGATTTAGTTAATATTGATTTTTTCACTAAAGAACCACAAGTAATTAAGAAAAAAATTAGTGTTGAAGATTTTGATTGGGGGTTTTTGGATGAAGGTTTGTGTCACACCCCGAGCCTTAAGTCGTGCAAGTGGCTGATACCCGAAACTTTTGTTGGTCCCCAAGCGAACTCTTGGCCGTGCAACAACTCTTTGCCAAACACATCAATAACTTTTTTTTCAACTGTAGCGCTTTTATCCAAATACATAATTACTTATTTTTAAAATAAATTTCAACACTTTAAAAAGTTACTTTTTTTAAGTCAATCCAAAAGACTCTTGGTCTTTTTAACTCTCTTCAGAGAATCACTATCTATGTAAATGTTCATATCATTCAAAATTATTCATGTACAAAAAAATTGTTTTCAACAATTTCTAAACTAGCTATCACAAAAGTATCCTAAATATAACTAGCGTCCTTTTAGATATGAGGATTTGTATTTTAAAAATGGATTAGAGTCTAAAATACCCTTAAAGTATTGAAAATGTATAAAATAACCCTCCATCCACCTATTGGCTCCAAATGCCCTAGAGCTCCAAATATCCTTGTCATCCACCTTTAGGTTTAAAATTGACCACTTATTTAATTTTTTTAAAATTAAACTCTTTAAATATTTTTTTAAAATACTTGGCGTTCAACTATTGATTATAATTTAATTTATTAATATAATTTATAAACCAACCCACTACTCACGCATTACTAATTAAACTGCACCCAATTAATAATCCAATTATAATATCAAAATCGCCATAAACAGTACTAAGACACGATGTAATTATAGATTCCTGAAAATGACATCCAAAATTATTCGATTCCGAATCGAAATCCCAATTAAATTTAGGTTGAGTCGCTTATTTAGGAGGACACTTTTAATAGGATTCTCTTTCAAGATTAAACTAGAAATTTATGATTAAAGGTAAAGAAATAATACATCCCGAATTAATTCATGCACTTTTTTAAAATGTAATTTTATAAATATTCATAATTTGTTTTAAAATGTTTAATTGTAACGACCTGTTAGTCGTTTTGAGCAGCAGATTTTATTTCTGGAAAAACTGGCTGGGACGACGGAACCCACGACGGACCGTCATGGGCACGACGGACCGTCGAGGGTGTCTCGTTTCAAAACACTTAGAAATTCTGAAAAATGGGTACTGAAATCGACTCTCTGAACTTCGTAACGGAATGGCAGGACGGACCGTCACAGGCGTGACGGACCGTCACAGACTCTTCAGAGAATTGAGTCTCTGAACTCTGTGACGGAGCAGCAGGACGGACCGTCGCAGGTACGACGGCCCGTCACAGGCTGCGTAATCCCAGGCGGGGTCGGACTTCTTTAAATGTTTTAAGGGACTTTTTGACTATTTCTGCTTTAATTATAAAGTTAGTGGGTTAATGCTAATAAGTCTAATTACTTGGGGGTTAAAAGAGGTAACCTTGAGTAAATTAGTGGGTTATTATTGCCATCTTTTATTCTTAATTATATGCTAATTAGGGTAAAAGAAAGAGGGTTTGAATAAAGAAAATAGAAAGAACAAAGAGAGAGAGAGAGAGAGAGAGAGGATCGAACGAGAAGAGGAAAACACAAAGCTTTGGGGAACTTGCTTGCTTGATTACTAATCTTCGGTGGAGGTAGGTTATGGTTTTTATGCTATTCGTAATAAACTCTTAATACCGAATGATATGTATTGGGTAGTGTTGTAAACCCTTCTATATGCTTAATTGTGTGTTTGCATGTTGTGATTATATAATTGTGATGAGATAAGCATGATGAAGCTATTGAATTCTAAATCTTGAAAAAAGAAACCCTAATCTGCTTTGTTAATGATGATGCCTTTTAGTATACGAGAAGGCTTGATGAACGAAAGTAGTGAGATTAGGGGATCGGGTGCCATGTTCCGGTACCAGGATAGTATATGAGGATCGGAGTGTCACGTTCCGACACCAAGATAGTATATGAGGATCAGAGTGTCACGTTCCGACACCAGGATAGAATATGGATCGGGTGCCACGTTCCGGTACCAGGATAGTATATGAGGATCGGAGTGTCACGTTCCGACACCAGGATAGTATATGGATCGGGTGCCACGTTCCGGTACCAGGATAGAATATGGATCGGGTGTCACGT